GTGATCATACTTTTACGGCTTGAATATATTTTTTTTATTCGTACTACTTTCGTTTTATCGCTATGAGAAAACATACATTTATTGTACACGGTTTGTACAAGGTCTGTATAAAAACAACGTGTGTACTTCATGTTAACTAAACGGATTCAAACATTTCAAATTTATGTCTTTATTTAATTGTACCGTCTTTGTAATTGGTTAGTAATTCGTTTGTAGTTCGTTATCCTCATCGTACCTACTCGGTTGGTGTCGGCGACTTATTCGTATCCATCGAATTTTATGAATATTTAATGAAAATAATTTGCATGTCTACAGGGTTTTGCAACGCAACGTTTTCTCCCACGCACACACGAATATTGTTATCGTCTTTTAATTGGACTGGTATTTCCATTGCGTAACTTCAATGCACGTAAGGTGTCAGTACAAGCGATTTCGTGTAAGCCATAACATATTTTCTCGTGACCCGCATTGTTCTTACTTTTTTTACTGCCGATTTTGCCCTTTTATTACTTTATGTGCTGCCTTATGGTTATGACTTATGACCATATTTAAATGTGCTTTACTACACGCGTGCTTAACGCGCAATAATAATATAATTCATTAAATCTTACCAGATGTGGCTCGTAGATACTCAATTATTATTGTTTCTTGACTCCTGTCATTCCACTCTAGTTTGAATGACTATATTATATAATATTAGCTGGCTTCATAGTGTCAGAACCTATATAAGCATCGTTGGACAATTTGGCACTGCACTCTGTGGGCTTGTGATAGAAATAGATTCAATTCACCATATGAATATGTGATTGCAACACGTTTTTATATTACTTGAAAAACTTTATGTACGTACACCTTTTTATTGGTGGCACTGCAGTTTTTTAGTTTTTTATACTGGATAAATGTACTCAAAAAGACTACGTCTTGTTATAAGTTAGCAAAAGCAAAGGGAACTATTATTGTTATAAAATTTGTTTTCTTAATTTCCTTGTAGTTTATAACAACAACAAAAACATTTATTTCATTTTTATGTATATAAATCTTTTACCTAGGGATTTTTTTCGAGATTTATTTTAATTCTATTGATTTACCGATAAGCCTCCTTACGCCTCCCCATTTACGCTTATGATTGCTGAACATTTTTTTTTCAAAACATCCTGTACGTGCGTTTTGTAATGTAAGCTAATAAAGAAGCGATAATGCACGCATGTGTTTTTTAACTGTAATACTTACTGGTCCCAGGCGAACACGCAATAATAATAATAAAAAAAGGATCGGTTCGTTGTACTCTCGCGTTGATCGCGAAGGGAGTGAAAAAATGGTTTAAAGTCATTTTGAACGGAGCACGTTCTTTGTTGGGGGAAAGAACTTATTCATCGTATTAAACGTTGTGTGGTGTTGTTTGCTGGGTTTTTTTTTTGGTTAAATTTTTATATATGCTGTCGGTGGCGGGACAGGCTGAATCGAAAACAAAAAAAAAAGACTAGTTTCGACCGCCAATGGCGATTGTGTTTATTATTTACCATATGGCGTGCATCTCATGTTTGTCTCTCGTTTACTGGCGAACATCAACGATAATAATTTCCACCCACAAACCGTGTAGAGAAACAACAAAAATTATGTCTACTTGCGGAAGCTTGCGATGCACGTGGTAGCGATCGGTGGCGGTAGATAAATGCGGTTTGTTTACACGTGAAATGTAAACTTTGATGGGAGTTTCATAGTGAAAAGATCCATTCGTAGTCAAACGTGACTTGAAAAAATCATTCTCAGCACATTCACTTGACTCGTAGGTACATAGAAATGTTCTTGATTCTATTTTTTAGCTTATTAAAAATACATCATAACTAAAAAATACTTGAATGTTCGAGTGCCTAATGGTTAGTATTTTGTAGCCGAAAGATTTGTTTGTTTGGTAGTCTGTTCAAAGATGATTCATTATAATCAGAACACAATGTGTTTACTCTACCACGGACCCTAAATCCGGTTTTGTATGTATAATCAAATGCATTCATTGTAAACTACAATTATTATTATTCGGTTTCAGTAAAGCGTGTAGAATATTAATGTTGTATTAGTTCACACACAAAATATAATATATTATTTTAAATCACATTTTTTAAAGAGATAGTATTATACTTAATGTGATGGAATACATTATCGTTTTAATGCTGTATTTATTTTAAGAGGTTAATTTATTTTACTATATTTTTATAATCTCATTACAACCATCTGCGATATCAATTGCATAGGTGGACCTTTTTGTTGTACACGAATGACTCGATTAACTGTAAGATAATGTCGATTTAGTTTTTTTATCCTTTATATACATAGTTGATATGTGGTCTGTGAAAACGGTGTGGCGATGTGTGTAAAGAAGTTTACATTTTGTTATATTTACACTTGGATTAAACTTGCAACATTAGTTTATCAATAATAAATATTATAAGATGGCTTTAAAAATCGATATCATAGGGGTAAACGCTATCATGGAATCCAATTCAAACGTAGCATACAATTAAGGATCTACAGACATTGTCTATCATCTGTAGTGCATTCGAATTTGAGCCTAAGAATGTTATTTACGAGTAAAAATGTCTACTAAGTGTTCATTCGTGTGTTATTATAAATGTTCGAGAAAATATTAGTAGTGTTATTTGAACCGCTATCTATAATAGGTAGTATGAAATACCTAATACTAATTTTTTTAAACACCTGCTTGGTAGACCCTGGCTACATTCTCCCTGGTCGTTCGGACAGGTATATTAATAGGGTTGTCTCGCCTAAAATCCATTTAAAAATTATTGCTGTACCTAAATAATTGCCTCATTTCGACAACACTGGTTTTTATGGATCCTAAACGGCATGCGACCAGACTCGTACTTAACCGCCGGAGTGTGCTGCGTTCTCTTGTGCATTAACAACATTTTGTTCTCAAGGTCATTCTTTGACCTCAAACAATGACATATACTCGTAATAGTAGTAGAATATTGCTATTATTAACGGTCTTTAGAAAATAGACAAGGTATTATTATTGTAGCGACTTGTTCTATAAAATGTCTAGAATCCAGTCCCCGCGTGGAGGAGTGTGTCTTGTGTGCCATACATGGGATTAGCTACAAGACGTGGTCGATCTCCGGCACAGTCTCCGTAACCTGTAAACTAAACACCTGCCCGTATGCACTACACTACCCGATTATTCGTCTCTGAAATAAATTGAAATAACAACAACGATCATTGTAACGAATTATTAAAAATAACAATAATATACTGGTTTTTTTTTTTGCAATGCCACATCGTCTGATGTTCATATACACACAGAACTCGGTTGGCTCTGTTTTATTAATTAATATTCCTATACAAAACGTTTTAAATTATTTGTTTTTTCGATTCAAATTATTTCGTTCGTGGGGTTTCTATCCGTTAAGTTTAAAAAATAATGTTGTATATGGTTACCGCAGCAACTAGAATAATTATGACGGTTATTAATCAACGGTTTAGAATTGAATACAACTGCTGGAGCTGTTGAATTAATATCGATAGCCGCTGTATATATATCGCCATGCCGACTACTGCCGGAAACGAGGGTGGGCGTTAATCATACTTAGAGGGGATTGTATTTTTTTACAACTGTATAATAATACACATTCGTCGAGCCTCCATCAGTTATTATACCCGACTATCGGTTTACATGAGAGACGGTTTAGTTTTGTATTAGATTCAACTATAATAAGGGTATTTAGTATTGAAACCTATCCGTTCTGGAAAATATAAACTTAGTGCTACTGTTGACCAATTTTGATAATCTTGTATGTTTTGATATTATGATCAACTACGATTGTACCACTAAGTTATATAAAAAAAGAAACTGGTATATAAATTATAATGGTTTGGTTCCATTGTGTATACACGTTTTTTATGTCAATTAAAAATAATGAGATTTTAACATTTAAATCGAAAAGGGTTTTGTTTTTTCTTTTCATTTCATTGGTAGTTCAGAATAGATAAATAATATGGCCTATTAAAAGTACTTGAAAGTACCTTCTAGTGTTTGCTAATAATTGTTTTTCTTTGAACAACATAATGATTTTATTGTGCTATTACTCTCATTTGTTCAACGTACAATCTAATACGGTTTGTTGTACTATCGCGAACAGCGCATTGGCAAGTGGACATGATAATAATAAAAAAAAAGGTAATAAAACCTAAATAAATTGTTATCGTTACAATTGGATTCGTTTATTATTTAGACCAGCCTAGCCTAGGCTACACTTCAGCTCGCATGTTGTATAACTCTCGAACCATGACCAATGAAGGAACAATCATGGTTTTTTTTTGTCATTTCCTTCTTAGCGTCCATCGAAGTGTTATATTTTTTATTTTAAAAACTATGGTATTGTATACAGAACGACAATTTATCTTACGTCGGCGACCAGACTTCATGATGCGCCAACTGACTATGCGTGAAGGCACTCTGGATTTAAATATATCTGGGCCATCTTTTCTTCTGCCACGTTTGTATTATATTTATGACACCATATAGTCAGTGATGCTTAAAGTAAACGTCACGATTTTATAACAGGATGTATACTACACTTACATACATTTAAACAAAAAACAAATAATTGCATCACACGCTTAATAGGGTTATAATATTTTTGTTATGAAGATAATTAATATCTTTTTGGCTTTCGGCTCCTCAAAATGTAAATTAATATTTATATACAAGTATATATTAATATATTTATACGTATGTATAATAAAGGATATTGCTCGTCACGTCTTTGTTGGATTAATTAACAGTTATTAGTAATGACTTAGACTTAAGTTTTATGTTGTTTAAATAATTTAATATATTTCAATCCTTCAATATCTGTATCCTCTGTAATTTATTATAAAGTATATAATTATTCTTGAGAAAAAATAAAATTAACACCAAAAGGTTTTGATTTTACTCTATATGCGTTGTAGTTTTAACAAAACATCTTTTTTTTCTTTTACAGTCCATACACAGTGACATCGAATCGAAGGGCAAATGCATCCGTTTGGCATTAAAGTATTGCCAGTGGTTATCCGACGAACATCAGCTTGCGAGTAACCAAGAGGTATTACAAGCTGTGCCTTCTCTGACTAAAAAGGCGAAGCACTTTGAACACCGCTGGCAATTACTGTATATCAGATCACTGGAGTGGATTTGTTTTATTGAAAGCCTATCAGTGAAAAAATGTCGCAAGGTAACTTGAACAAATGAGCTAATGGTTATTTTAAAAAGAGGAAAACGTCAGTTGCCTTTAACGTCACACGAGATAAAGTTACTCCCATTTAACGTTATCACAAAAGTATGTTTATGTGTTTTTTTTTTTTTTTTTTGTAGGATAGTATTAGTTCTTCAGATCGCGATGAAGAACCGGTCCATAAATATCCTCGGATGAACGAAGAACGCATTTTACCGAAATTATCAAACGTTAGTTATCTTTGGCTGATAACATTTTATACGATTTTCCTTTTTACAGTGGTTATACGTTTATTTTGTTTGTTGTTGTATTCTTAGGATAAAATGGAAACTGGAAAATCACCTATTCCCGTGCTACATACAGAGCGAATGCCATTTGACGAAACGGCCAACTTTCATAGGTATATTGAATAATTATGTTCTTACTTATTACATATTTGTATCATTTTTAATGCATTTGTATATTTAGGTCGGATAGAAAGGGTCCGAATCTGGCCACTTTCTATTATAGGCATCTCGACACTGATTCGGAACAGGAAACTAAGAAAAATTCGATTCCATTAAAAATTGATGAGAAAACATCGGAGTCGTCGGGAGAAGACGAAGAAGAATGGACTTACAGCCCGAGAACAACCGATGTAACGAAAAAAACAGAAGAGCACATTTCGTTAGCGGAACCTGCCAATTTAGATGAAATAAAAGCCTTGGTGGATAACGTGAATTGGTCAGTTCCGAAACCGAAATATCAGGATAAACATTGGATATCTGGTAGCGGAGTGAAAAGAAAACATATCATAAATGAAAACTTAGATCCCGAAGTATGCGCCGAATTTGAAAGCCAAACAACTCTTTTTGATTTGTTGATGTTTTACTTATGCGTTTATTGTTTGTCAGGACGAAGGGTGTATCGGTGACAGTTGTGATGCCAGCGGCGAATACACGACGGAAGACGATGACCAACATTTCAGTTCGGATAACTATTCGCATTCTTCGCGATCTTGTGATATAACTGTTGTACAGTCCGCCGATTTGGAGTTTTCTTGTAGCCCGGGTCGTTTAAACATTTGCAGTTCTCCAAAAGTAAATTCCCGACAATTCGGTTACCAAAATTTGTTACAATTATTTCCGAATTTTATAATTAAATGTTTCAATTTGTAATATTTAACCGTAGGTCATTTTGAGGCCTAAAACCAACTCTAGAAACGCTCTGAGACCAGTTAGTATGTCTGGCCTTCCCCAAAGCACCCCGAAAGCGAGGCTGCTCACCGATTCCTGTCAGTTATCCGTTTCCGAATCGGCCTTAAATAGTCTTTCTCATGAGCAAGTGTCTGTTAACGGTAGAGATTCGTCGACTATCGAAGAATCTACCGCTACTCAGACGCAAGACTGCTGCAGTGGACCTTATACCACGAATTCCTTGAGGAGACGCAAACTAAAGCACAGAAAACGAAGCACAGTGGTTAGTGTTTTGTTGTACAACCGTAATATTAGATGCGTATCGGGTAAATTTCATTTATTTGGAACGATGGTATTTTTTTTAGGAAAAGAAGAGCAAGAGTGGTTCGGCTGACAGCCTTTCGTCCGCTGTCAATTCTGTTACGTACAATGATATGGTCAACTCTGGTTCGTTTTCCGGCTCTTTGTGCGGCATTTCTCTAATCGAACCGCAGCGAGCGGACTCGGAGACGGAAGAAGAAACTACTAAAGAGTCGAGAAGGCAGGCCTCGCGGAAACGACCAATGAAAATGCCCGTATTCCGCTTAGGCGAGTTTGGCGCGGTCACCCCGAGGGAAAATCGATTTCCTCTAAGGTCTCAAATGCCGTCAGGTACGACGACGGACTTTAGCTCGTTTTCCGAACAGGCCTGGGACAGCTATCAAGAGAAGTACTTAAGCGAACCTTACAGCGAGGACCCTCCCGATCCCGAATCCGTTAGGCGCCTGTTAGACTTTGGCGACGATTACAGAAAGTACATCGACAGTCAGTCCGACTGCGCCTCTAGTATCGGCAGACCCGCGTTTGTAAGTACATAGCAACCGCATAATTCGTTCGATTAACTAAAAACACATTTAACATTGTAGATCGATGACGATACCTTTGAACAAGAGTCGTGTGAATCCGTGCGCAAGTTGATTCTCAAGAGTAGGTTGCAGTTGAACTATTTGGAACAAGTGCTTTCCAAACTGGTCACTTGCCCTAACTCGAATCTTACACTAACTGATGTTGTGAGTTTGAACTATCTGCTGGACTTTTTTTAAAGTGTGTACATTAACTGATCGAGTATTTTGTTCGATTAGGGCCAGGTAAAACAGTGGTGCCGAGAAAACGAGTACTGTCTTCGTTTCTGTTTGGAAGGGATCGACGATAATAATACCGTAATTTCGGCGAACGATATCGCAGAAGTCGAAGGTAAGAATTTTATTCACAGTTCTTTAAAACATAATATAGATGGAAATCACATCGTTAAATAGATTTAGAAACAATCTCGATATCACAATTTTTACCGATGAGCCAATCATTTTTAAACGTCTAGAGGTAATAATAATAATACTAATTAATGGAAAAAAGGAAAATAATTGTATTGCTAAATAAAGACTTACTCGGACAAGTTTCATGACATAAAATCATAAAAATTATGTCGAGTGGATTAATTCATGACCTTATCGCTTTCTATTACTGTTTGACGGCTAACAGTTATTAATAATTATAAAAAAAATGTGTAGCTGCTAAAAGAAAAAAATAAGACAAATTTGCGTGGTAGCCCTACGTAAATAGCTTTCTGGAACTTTCGTTAAAGTTCTCTTTGCCGACTTAAAACGTTTTGACATTCGCTTCATTATAGTTTATCACTCGTGCTAGACCATTTACAAAAAAAATAATTAATTAATAGTTTCTTCACGGAGAAATATTTGGATAATAACTTCTAGGTTACAATGGAATATACTTTTAAAAGTATTAAAAAAATTTGGCCATTTACATAAATTATGCTGTTTAATTTTAAATATATTTCGTAAAATATGCAATAAAATACAACATTTACAGGTGTAACTATTGATAATTATTGTAACAGGTGGTTTTTAAAGGGCATTGGAACGTAACATTATACTAAAAAGGAGTTTTGTGGAAAAACCTCTCACGGTTTACACTTTAAAAATGTTTTTGGTCGGTTTTTGGCATAGTAAATTTGAGGTATTTCTTTAAAAACTCTTTTAATAATAATAAATTTCATTGCCAGACCATTTTTTAACTGCATTTTATTCGTCGAGTAATTAAAAACTATATCCGAAATCCTTGTGCCAGTTTATCGTATGAAACTGAATATCGAAAGAAAATAATTTAACCTTTAATGTAAGGTAGTTGAGAGGATATATATATATATTGTTACAGCGATTTATAAATATTATCTACTGATTAAAATTTTAAAAATAATCTTTTAAAGACGAAAATCTTATAGACGCAATTTGGAAGGAGGTCGGGTGTGTTTAGTAGAGGTTTTTAAAATAACACCACACATTTGTTTGCGTTCATATAAGTAGTATGGGAATAGGTGGGGCTATATATAATACCAGTGCTAAAGCACACCTATTATTATAGTAAATTCTCTACAAATTTTTCTCGAAACTTGGGTAAAAAACTACCAGTTCACGGACGAATTATCAAAACAAGCCTAAGAGGGAGTCATCTTTTGTCAATTCTGAATTGACAAAAAAAATGTAATGTGGGTGATAGGATTTTCGCTTAGCTCCTTCGCTGTTTTCTTCTATGGTACGTTTATTTATGATTCTAATACAGTAATGGTCGAATTTATTGTCTACACACGACACACCCGTTACCCTTTATAGCGTAGGTGTGTTTTACTAGTTCGAACGGCCGGTTTTTTTTGGGGGGAGTTTACTGTCCAAAAACTTGGTTGTCGTGGCAACCGCGTCCCCTTTTATGAAGTCGTCGACGCCAACCGCTTCCGACGGATATTATCGATTTACTTAGTGTTACTTCTCTGTTCGTTTGCCCTAGGAAATCGCGTGGGTCCGTGCAACGGCTTGTGGGCGATTGGTGTACCTAATAAATAGCTTTGGAAACGATTTCGTAATTAGCCTATCCTTTTCGACGGAGGCGGCAATGGCTGAACCCATTAGGAGGAAAGCCTCGGGCCGGCCCCACCTGTGGACCGTTTGCAAATCCAAACGGAACGCGAATCACCATGCCCGCCAGTGTCAGTTAGTCGGTTTTCGGCGACCACCTGCGCCAATCGCTCTCGGTAAAAATATAAAAGCGTTCCCGCGCACGCCGATTCTAGTTTTTTATCGTTCCAGATACCGCTTGGTGGTAATGTAAACAATAGTTAGGTTGTATCGTTTTTTTTTTCACCTTGCCGGTCGTCATTTGTTACCGCGTATCACCAACGGCAGTGCGCGCAAAACACCGTAGCGCGAAGGTCGCAACTTGCGCGCTTGTCAGCCACTTGAAAAGAGAACAGCGTATCATCTCGTCTACGATATTATTATGACTCGCCGAAAAGAAGTCGCCCACGCGGCCTCTCAAACCACCATCAAAGGTAAATACACGTTGTCTTCGTTGTTTTATCAAAATACAAGTGTTGTTAACGGTGTGTAAAAAGTTGGTTTGCTGGTCGTTTTAAAAACTACATTCTATAGGCCTTACATTCGGTTTTTTTTTTTGTAATTATCTGTAAATCGCTTTGTTCGATTTTGTAACCTTTGTCTGTCTGAATGCAAATTTTGATGCAACTAGATCTCGTTGGAGTTAGATACCATTAGACGATACCAACTAAACAATCTGCGCGGCTTCGTGCCTTCTTTGCCTCTAACCGCTGTCGTCGTCTACTTTAACCGGTTAAAAAAATGATGTTTCACGCCGGTATAATTTTATGACTATATATTTGGTTCATCGTCCGCCTTGGCGGTTGTTTTGCAATTTATTTTTAACAACCAGTGTCTGAACCTAACGGGTTTATAAAATTAAATCAGACCGCAAACGAGCAATAAAATGTTAACATGGTTTCTGTCGGTATTGTTATAAAAAATAAAAGTTGAACCATTGATTACCCATTTCGCACGTTTGAAGGTTTTCCCTTACCTTCAGTAAGTATTACAATTTTGAATATATTATAATATTTCTTCATTGTTATTGTTTCAATCAGATTCTAAAAGTATTTCTATGAATTGTACAGTATAATTGTATAAAACAATGTGCAAGTCAATCGAACTCAACATGGTTTGTAGGGAATATGCGTTCATTTTACCTTTCTAATAGACAAGCCAAACGCCCAATCTCTGATTTCTGTATTATGTTACGGTCTGTTGTCGTCATGATGTGTACGGTGTACTGTACATAAACAATTTCCGTCACGGTCGTTAGAGACTTTATCATACAGCTTGCCACAAAATATTATTTGAAAATTCTACAGCAGTAAAAATAACTGTTCATCACATTAAAATATTAATGGATCATTTAAAAACAAGAATTTCTAATAAATCAATTAAAAACCATAGTATAACATTAATAAATGTAATTAACTTCAATAAACTGCAATCAAGCCATTTATTTGAAATAATGTGCATATATAATTTATGTTCATATGATAAAATAGTAAATACAAATTTGAAATTATTATTACTCAAATGTTGTTTCTTTTACTGTTTTAATTAGCTTTGAAAATATAAACATTAGAATTTAATAAAATGACCCGTATATTTTTTTACACGATATAAATATGTATAATGTATGGTATACATTGCAGTATTCTCTGACTATCTAGTTCTCGGATTGTATTCCTTTTAAATATCAAATTTATTAGGGTTTTGATAACATCTTATTATGTTATTTTGTTTATTTGAACTAAAGATTTTGCGTGTCATAATACCTATTGTATTTGTGAGTGTTTCTTTGAATATACCGTGGACATATGTGCATACACTATGAAGCTGCAGTTAACATATTACAAAGTATTTTGCGTAGGTACAATTATAATTGAAACTGACACAACCATGGCATTCGAATTATGATGGTAATGTAAAACGATTAAAGTATGCATTACCAGCGTTATCTTAACTGCTAATTCCTTAAAACGTGTTATCAATATAATATCCAGTGTCGACTTAATTGCAATACACTGTAATCTGTATAAAATAGTTTGTAGCACACATGGTTTAACTAAAAAATAATTATATACTTTTTAAACTATATATTTCATATAGTAAAAACTGAGCAACACTTGTGGTTACATAATTATAGATATTAACAAGTTGACCGCCATGAGTAGTACCGTATTTGGTACTGATATGGACATATGGTTTATATTAAAATAATATTATTAAGTGCTTTTGTGAGCGTTTATTATAACGTTGCTACCGAAATAAGCGTATACTGATTTTTTAACTCTTTTTAATTTAAATTTAAATTCAAAATGAATGACATAAAATAATACGTATCATCTAATTTCCATGGTATTTGTTCAATGTTAAAAAGCATATTTTTTAAGTTTTTCTTTTTTTATATAATTAATGATTTACGATTATCCATTCGTGTAGATTGGCCAGATAGATCTATGTTGTTTGCCTTTCATAGTGGTATGCGTCCAGTTTTTTTAAAAGTGTATTGAAATGGGTTTAATAGAAGATCGATAGATGGTTAATCATATTTATTTTTAATTATGTCTAAAAATATAAAAAGAGTGAGTTACAGCCGTATTTTTATTATTCTGTACTCTGTGTGTGGGAGATAGACATGCCTCTTTGGCAAACCTTCAGCAAGAAATATGAATAACACGTGTTAAGAAATACAGCCTTCCACCAATAATTAAAATGGCTTGGGGATGCCATCATGTAAAAACACGAGGCCGGGGGTTTATGTACGAGACGTGTAAACAGTGTATCATTTAACGTAACTATTTAAAACTTCGGTTTTTAAACGATTGGTAGACCTTCAATACAATTCAATATTTGTTATCAAACAACAAAATATTGATCATTTAATTTTTAAACTGTTATTACATTGTCGGCTTTGATTGGCCGATGAATAATAAATGTGAAAACTGAAAACGGTAAAAGCGGTATGGTAACTATTTGTTGATAACCGCAAGTAATTGCTGCCAACTTTCTCGGACGTTCGCGTATGTTTTCCTCGTGGCAACCATTTAGTGAAAATTGATTACACAAGTTGTTGACTTACCTATTCGATCGCGTGAAAAAGACATTAAATAATCCGTCAAGTTATTTGTATGTATACGAATTATGTGGGCAAAATTATCGATGCCCGTATCAACAACATATTACTAACTTTTATGAAGCGAACAAAACGAGCGGTGAAATTTTGTTTAAACAACTATAATAATATTCGTAAAATTCGTACTCGTGTTCTCGTTTTTGGCAATATTGTCTCAAATGGCA